GTACTGGTACAGTGGTACTCACAGAACTTGGCAGGCAGGTCCAGGCTGGTACTGGTACAGTGGTACTCACAGAACTTGGCGGGCAGAGGCTGGTACTGGTACAGTGGTACTCACAGAACTTGGCGGGCAGGTCCAGGCTGGTACCTGTCTCTTATACACATCTAGATGTGTATAAGAGACAGGGCTGGGGGAGAGGCTGGGGGAGTGTGGGGAAGGCTGGGGGAGTGTGGGGGAGGCTCACCCTACGCCGGGTGTGCAGGTCCAGCCCAGCACGGCTCTGGTGGGGACGCTGAGCAGCACAGCACCCGTCGCCGCCTCCACCACCGCCACCCACCGCAGGCTGACACCCACCGTGCACACCACCTGCCGGGGGAGGGGGAGTGTCAAGGAAACCTCTTATTAATATAATATTATTATAATTTTATTTTATTATTTATATTAATATAAAATACAATGAAAGGAAAGCTCAGTAAATATTAGAATTCTTGTTAAAATTTACATATCATGTCAAGCGTGCTTGACATTTTGCTAGCCAGCCATTTTTAGCGTATTTTCTCATTTATGGAAAAATGTCCTATTGAGCTCGTCATGTCATGTCCGTCCGTCCGTCCGTCTGTCTGTGACCGTGTCCGTCTGTCTGTCCGTGAGCACTGAGTTATATTTTTTCTACATGTCTACATCTTGTCAGCGCCCCAACAGTCAGATTGCTTTAACTCCCTAGCACCTGTAGCCTGATGCTGACTATGTCCCTTTTATTTAAATTAAGGTTTTTAATTAATTTAATTAAGGTTTTTTAAGGTTTTAATTTGAATTAAGGTTTAAGGTTAAGGTAATTAAGGCCTGCGAGGTTTCCCTGACCAGGGCCTATACTTTCAAAAAAAGTTAAGAGATCGTAAGTTCGTTGGCTGGAGGAGGGAGCTGGCGTGGACGTGGTATACCTAGACTTTGCTAAAGCATTTGACAAAGTTGACCATGGGGTGCTCTTTAGAAAGCTGAGGCTGTTGGGG